TATATATATATATATATATGTATATGTATGTATATACATAGATATATATCAATAAACCCTAAACCCTAAAAAAAAAAAAAATCAATAAAGCAATTCCCAAAACATAATTTTGATGATTATCTGGAAAACAAAGTTGAAAGAAAGTTGTCAAAAACAGACACTTATTTGACTCTTTGTTACAATTACAACAACTGTAACACATTTGTTATACTTTAATAAAATTGTAGCCATATCTATTTTAATTAAATTCAAGTGTTATATGAATACTAGATGCAATGAGTTGAGGCTAATTATGTGAAAGAAAAATCACATTCAAGGCATTCAACACTTGCGCCTGGTGACCCAACATTTTATTCTTTTTCCTGCTCGTGCCAGATTCCTCACGAACATTTTATCCAAGGAAAGTTTCATGCTATGAAAACACATACTGGGCGACCCAACACTTAATTAATATTCCACATTTATCTTAACCCCACAACATTCATAGTCTTTTCCGACCATATCAATAATGTTATCTTAACCCATATTCAAAGAATATTCAATATATATTCTTAATAAATATTTCAATAACATTGAAATAAAATTTTAATATTTTTTTAGGACATGATTCTAATATTGTCTAAATTTTATTTATTTATTTATTTATTTTAAAATCCAGATTGTTTATATATTCCTCGTCCGAGCGGACGACTTCTTCAGAACTCTTATGGTGAAACTAGTTCGCGGGTTCGGATCCGGCAGAAGAACAAAATCCTCATAACCCTAGGATGGATCCATCCATAGTGAAATTCATGGAGGACGACGAGGTTTTTACCCTATTTGTTCCCCCATTCTTTAAAATAACACCAATCCCTTGCTCGATTTGACGATCTATCCACTTTGATCGGTCGATCTTTACCTGTTTTCTGACTGACGATACCTAATTCGCAGGACGAGAGCTTGCACTCCGGGGCGGACGTCGAGGCGTTCTCCGCCGCATTGACCCGGGACATCGGAGGAGATCCCCCATCCCATGCCCCCCAGCCTCCGGACCATGATGCTGGTAATGTTCATCCGTTTGCTCACTCTTGTTATGTTACTGGTATGATGGTTGGCACTTTATTTGTGAACCAGTGGTTTTAGTTGAGGTTTGTTTGCTTGCATGCAAGTTTGAGGAGGAAGGGAAGACTTGGGAGTCATTTTAATGATTTTTTGGTTTACGATATTTTAATTTGTTTTTTTTTCTTTGGTCTTGCAAGAAGTGGAAAAAGCATTATTCAGTCGCATAGTGTTTATAATTTCAGCTGAAATTGTGGATAATCCGCTAAGTTATATTCAGGCGTGCCACTAAGTTATCCACATTTATGGTTTTGTCAGTATCATCACTGGTTCCATCCTTGCAACTTGAGATTGGCCTTTTTATCCTATCACTCTATTTTTTTTCTTGTGTGTTAAGTGCTACATGAGATTTTAGTGTCATTAAAACCACTGTTTCTTCATTGTGCTAAATATTTTATACCTTTTCCAGCCAAATATTTTTGTAATTGATTTGAATTAATTTATCCACAATTTTATTGGCGTATTTTGTGCTTTACGCATTACAAAGTCTCTTTTATGCATGAACTATATTGTAGAAGTCAGAAGGAACTCAAAATTTTCTCAAAATCGTTTTCAATAATGGAGTGGTGCTCTAAGTTATTTTAAATTTGACTAATCTATAGTCAAATTTGTAGCTATTTTTGAGTGAGCTTCAGGCTTTGACCTATATGAGCTTTCTGCCTACCTGCAAACACTACAGGAATTGCAGTTAAAGAAAACCAAAGTCAACAAGAAATCAACATCTGCCTTCATGTTGTCTGCACCCTTGTAGCGTTACCTGTAGGAGCCATCTGCCTATCTACAGACACTGTAGGAACTACAGACAGTCAAAGACAACTAAAGTTGTTTACTTCCTGTAAACTCCCTTGCAACATTCCCTATAGGCGTTTTCTGCCTACCTATAGGTACTGCAAGAACTACAGTCAAAGATATTCACAGTTGTCCATTTCTTTGCAAACTTTCTTGCAACATTACCTGTAGGAGACTTTCGCTTACCTACAGACACTACATAAACTACATCAAAGACAACCGTATTTGTTTACTTTACTGCAAAGTCTCTTGCATCATTATCTATAAGAGTCTTCTGGCTATTTATAGACACTACAGAAACTGCAGTCAAAGACAATCACAGAATATGATAAAGACTTCAAGTTCTACCTCGCAATTTCTTTTTCGTTCATTGTTTGTTATTTTCAGTTCCAAGTTGAGCATGATTTTTAACTATGTTTCAACTTTAAAGGGAGTGTTAGAAGTTATATTAAAAAATAATTTATTCCTGTAAGAAGTGATGAGGAATAAATTATTTCCTTAAATTATGAGTTATTTTCATTCCTATTTTATATTTATTTCCTAGATTTATGAGTTTTTTTCTTTCTTACTTTAGGCTTCTATATTTTGTGTTATTTTCTTTATCACCAAATAATTAATATGAATTGATTAATTGAAGATATTAGTTGATATATCTTTACTTTCATATTATTTCATTTTTATTATATTTCCTGTTCTACGATTCACATAAGGGTTATTCGTACTTACTCTCATATCAATGAAAATTCAACATTTATTCCGCATTATTCTGAATCTCAACAGATCTAATGTAACTTTACTGGATACTTTGAGGAATTCAATGTTCGCTTCAGCTATCCCACAACACGCTAGTATGCCAGCTTTTTCATCTCAGCCCGTGTCAATGATTTTGTCTTTCATACTTTTTCAATGTATATTGAAATAGACCATTACTTCATCAGTGATTTTATTATAGCCCATAATCTCATTCTTCAACATATGGTATCACAGAATCAATTTGCTGGTAATGTCACCCAAGTACTCTCCACAGCCTGCTTCACTACTTGACAGGACAAGTTGTTGCCACCTATTTGAACCCTCAACATGAGGGGAGGTGATAACCCTATTTAGCAAAATTGCTCCCTGCACCTAAAAGTTCTGAACAAATTTGCACCTGCTCTCTCACTGATAATCCTAGTAATCCATCCAAACGACCATCTATTCTAAATAAGCTTTGGCCTATTGTAACATATCACTTCAGCTTCCACCATTAGAATGATTGCTGTATCAGTTTTTTTATTTCTCTGTAATGGAATACAAAGCGTATGCTACTATCTCTCTCCTTACGTCTTTGCTATTCTTGTGGTATTGGCTGCTTGAATATCCCACATTTTAGTTGCTTTCATTTTGTTCTAATATAAAATTTAAGATAATCTTTTCTTGGCTGCTTATTTGTTGACTTTCAATGACAAATTGTACAATCAAGGTAGTCTGTGTTTAAACTCGTGCCGTTGGCTTGTTGATTGAAGTGATCAAATCCCACATTTTTGTTACTTTTTGTTTGTTCTGATATGAAAACTAAGATTGAGTTCTCTCAGCTATTCAATGGCTTTTCTGTTCCTTTATCTTTATAATTTTCCGTTCTTTTAATTATCACAGAATTGAACAATCAAGGCAGCAATCCTGGACCACAAAAATTACTTGAACAATGGAAAGCTAGCACTGAAGATGAAAATCCGGGACAAGGGATGCGTCAAACTGAAGAGCAGCATTTGCAGTCAGATGAAAAGCAACATCTCTCTCTCACAGAGCAATCAAATCAGGAACTTGGTGTCAATGAAAATGATCAATCAACAGAAAATCAGTCAGATAAGCGTCATCACCACTTACAAGAGGGACATTCTCAATCTGACAAGCAGTGGAACCCTTCCTCAGCTGTTGAGAAGGATGAAATCAATACAATTGACAAAAATTCTTTTCACCCTCACAAACAGGAAAGAGTTCAGTCCTCTTCGTCTCAAGGTCACAGTTCTCAGCAGTTAAATGCACAACAATCATTAGCTTCCAATGAAGAAAATCATCCACGTAGTTTGCAGCATTCAAATGTTCAACAGCCACAGGGTCCTAGTGAAACAGCCAATTTAGCAAGGCAGACGAAGCCAATGCCTACTATACCATTCCACTTGTTGATCCCAATTCTACATCCTCATCTTGATAAAGATAGATCAATGCAACTTCAGGCCATTTTTACTAAGCTAAGGGTGAGACATTATTCTGAATAAGAATTAATCCACATTTTTCTTGAATCAACATGATAATTGCTAACTAATTACCTTTTGGATTTGTGTGTGTGATATTGTGCAGGGGGTGTGGTTTTATACGCGATAGCTCTTTTTTTTTTTTTTTTTTTTTTTTTGTAGTTATAAATCATATAGAAGTTTGATTTTTTTTTTTTTTTTTTTTTTTTTTTTTATGCGGATTGCGAATTTAGATAAGTGAAATAAATCTACTGATATTTGGACTGCTTCTTTAACCTTCCTTGAGAACTTCCATTTTGTTCAGTGCGTGATGTTTTCACTGAGCAGGAACTTCTAATGTATGATAGCTTTACTGTTTGAATAAACTGTGTGGTTTTATTTTGTAGAATAATGAAGTTAGCAAGGATGATTTCTTAAGGGTTATTAGGAATATTGTTGGTGACCAGATGCTTAGACAGGCAGCTCAGAAACTGCAAATGCAGGTGAGTAACACTAATTATTGATCATAATTGTACAAATATTTATTTATTTGTTGTTGTTATGATTATCTTCTTAGAAATATGAGAAATGAGAAGTCTCTAGCCAAATTTATGGGTTTTGGTTGAAAGTCATATTAGGAAATAATTTATTCCTGTTAGAAGTTATGAGACTTAGATTTTTTTCGTAATATAATTTTATTTTCTTACCTATTTTAGATTTATTTCCTTTCCGATTTTAGACTTTTCTTTTTTATTTTGTTTCTTTTATGTTCAAATAGTTAATATAAATTGATTAATTGAAGATATTAAGTATTATATCTTTCTTTTCCAGTTATTTATTTTCTATTGTCTTTCCTATTCTATGAGTCATCTAAAGTTTATTTATATCCCCTTTCATATAAATAAAAAATGTTTCGCTTTATTCTAAATTTTAACATGGTATCAGAGATTTGCAACAAATCTTAGAGTCTCCTGCAGTTGGAAACTTCCTATATTCTGCAATCGACAACTTTTGTTGTGCTGCAAACCCTTCCTTCGTCTCCTCTTTTTAATATTTCCGTCAAAAACTTCCTCTCCCTACTGGCACTAGCTGTCGGAACTCCTTCCTGCAGGAACTGGCCATCATAACTCTCTTCTTGCAGGTCCCTAGCAGCCAGAAATCCTCTCTGCTGGCCGGAAAACTTTCTGCAAGCTGCAAATTTCTACAGGCTTCTTTAGTGGAGATGCATCTTCTTGCAATCTTTCCGCTGCATCTGGATCTCCTTCTTGTCGGCGCTTAAATTTCTGTACAAGAAGGAAGAGAGCAACATCTCGCTCGTCCCTGTAAATCTTCTTATCCTTCTTAACTAGAACATAACTCACTTTTTTCTTTACCTTCAATTTGTTTTTCTCCACAAGCTTGCCATCCAATGCTCTTCTACGAACATCAGAAGCATGGCTCTTTGTATCCATCTCAATCGCTTCCAACATTTCTGGTTTCAATGTCTGACCAGCCTTTTTAGTGGCAAACAACTCATGAGATGTGGCAAAAGAAAGGGGAAAGATCCAGGTGCCAAGAAGCCATTAATGAGGGACATAATGAACGATACATAGCAAATATTAGAAGATATGAGCAATCGATTTCTGATGCTTGTCAACTTGATTGGCCAAACGATAGGATCTTGATCCAAGTTCTGAACAACTTCAATGGAAATCCAATTCTAGTTCAGGTAAGATGGGGCTTTGCAAATATTGATGAGAATTGTTAACTCAATTTCAATGTATAAATATGTGCTTCCATTTTAGAGTGGAGTAGGTCAATGGGGGTTTCTTCAACTTTTTAGGGTTCATTGGAACCGCAGGTGTTTGGAGAAGTAAGGCATTGGAGGACTGTGGAGGCTGGCTTGACAGAACAACTGTCCAGGGTATGGATATTATTGTTTGTGCCCACTTGTGTAGATGGAATTTTATCTTATTTAATGATGTTAAGGCGTTTTGCGAGGCTCCATAATCATCAAACTTATCACAAGCAACAACAAAAATGGCATTCTGGTCATATCTTGTAGCTTTCTCTTTAGGCGTTCCTCCTTTTTACCTGCAGGCCTCCGGTGCTTTTCATGCATTGAAATTCTTCCTGCAACTGGTCCTCCTCCGAAGCCTTTTTCTGCAGCAGACATTCCTCCGGAGTTTTTCTTATATTAGACCCTCCGAAATTTTTTCTGCAGCAACTCACCCTTTTCTGGTGCCTTTTCCTCAAGCAGGTTCTTCTACGGGGTTTTTTCTTTTTTTCCCATTTTCTGCATGGTGATAGGTCATACCTGCAGCCTTTTTTGGAAGTTGTATACTTCTTTGCAAACTCCCCTACAACATACTTGTAGGAGCCTTTCAATTACTTATAGGCACTGCAGGAACTGCTGTCAAAGTCAACTGCATTCAATTAGAAGTCAACTTTTCTTGCAGGTTGTCTACTTTCCTGCATTCTCCCCTGCAACATTACCTATACAAATTTTCTGTCTACCTACAAACACTATAAGAACTGCAGTCAAAGACAACCACAATCAACTTTTCCTGCAGGTTGTCTATTTCCCTGCAAACTCCTCTACAACACTATCTGTAGAAGCCTTTCGCCTACCTACACTGCAGGAATTGCAGTAAAAAATAACCATAATATTGGATGAAGACTTCAAGTTCAAGTTCATGGGATCTTTCTTGCCTATCATTTAAAGTTTTCAAATCCAAGTTGAACATGATTTTTAACTATATTTAATTTAAGGGGGAGTGTTAGAAGTTATATTAAGAAACAATTTATTTCTGTTAAAGTTATGAGCATTATATTTATTTCCTAATATAACTTCATATCATTTTCTATTCTAGTTTTATTTTCTTAGATTGAATTTATTTCCTTTTCTATTTTAAGTTTTCCTATTTTATGTTGTTTCTTTTATTTCTAAATAATTATTATGAATTGATTAATTGGAGATATTATGTGTTATTTATTTCATTTCTTGTTATTTCTTTTTTATTGTCTTTCATATTCTAAGATTAATGTAATTGTTATTTATATCCCCTTTCATATTAATAAAAAAATATTTCATTTTATTCTAAATTTCAACAGTTTTAATAATGATTATGATTGTATACCACCAACTTTATATTTTATCTTATTCAGCTTCAAGCCCAAGCAAGTCGAAATCCACCAACAAACCCGAACCTATATTCTCTACAGGTACAATCATTCTCCAGAAAACTTCCATTTCATTGTTAATTAGCCATCTTCACCATTTCATGCATGCCATCTTCCCAGAACCAGAAGGGACAGAAATCTTCCCCCAATGTTCCAGCTTCAACAATTCAAAGGCAAACTGAGTCAAGTTTTCCAACACTCGACAATAGTATCCAGAAGTCCCAAGTAGATAATAAGTCAGATGGAAAGGCGACACATTTTGGTCAAACTCGCTCTGCTGGTTTGAGTGCAGGGAACCAAGAAAAGGAAAGTGCAACGACCTCATTGCAAGCAGTTAACAAACCATCCTCCTCGATGTATGGAAACATACCATCTAATTTTCATTCTCATCCTTATCCTAGGCTTTCAATTGGTGCCCAGGCAACTACCCAAAGGCTACAGGGCCAGGTTTCACAAACAAAACAAGCACTGCATGCCCAAGGCATTACTGCAACCCAACTTGGGTCTAGTCAGCTCATGGGTTTGGCAAATATGCCAAAGTATGAAAGTATTGGCAACGAGTCTAAGAGAATTCATGGTGGGTCTTTAGCCAGTCATACATTGCAAGCTTATCCAAACAAACCAATGAGCCTTGTGAAGCCAGAAGTAATTGATCAGGCTTCTGATCCTCTTGGAAGGCCTCAACAAACAGGTTCAGAAGGCTCTTCATTTGGTATAAAGGAAATTGAACAAAATGAGCAGTTGACGTCTAGAATGGGGTTTTCAACGCCTACAACTACGGCTGGAAATCATGCTTTGGGACCAGCACCAACCAGTGACGGAACGACACAGGTTAGCATCTAGTAAAATAATTCTAAACTTGTTTAGACAAGTTTATCATAGCGTATTCTATCCCCATTATGCATATTTTCTAGTCATTTTGTCAAAACGTGAATAATTAGTCATGAATAACTGTGATGTAAAGTTGTTTTTGACTAGCTTTGTTTAGGCTGCTGTATTTTCTTACTTATTTCTGCTGGCGTTGATAGCTGAATCAAATTATGCTGTAGAAAGATAAATACAATCTCAACCTCCAAAGTAGTTTAGCAATTTATATTAAATCGCTTTTTTTAGATCACAATTGAATGACAAAACATCCTTCAAGTTGTGATTTGTTCTTTTCATTGGCCGCAATGACTTGTTCATGTGCCTTTGAGATTGATGGAAACCATGTACGAGGATTGTGAGGAAAGAATTTTGATGTTAAATATGATTTAAGCTAATTGTAAATGTCTTGGATTGGGGAATTTCAAGAAATTTGCTATTCAACACTTTCTTTGTCGATAGTAACTTCTGCCTGGATAGGAATGTAACCAAAACAGATGTTAATGAATATTGGAGAAAAGCGTGCAGGACCAATGCCTACATTTTTTTTATTTGTTTTAAAGATGAAAGAGATCAAACAATAATAATGGAGTATTAATGGCATCTACTACTACAATAGTTTTATGTATTGTACTGCTAAAGTACAACTTGGGAATGTATACGATATAAAGCACAGTAATAAATAGGATGGTTAAAACAGATTTCTCTGAAGTATTTCATGAAAGTAAAAATCCATTCTGGCTGAAGGGTATTTTATAGAAATAAAGGCAACAAGGCCAAGTTGATTATATTAAACTGAGTTTTTGTGAAAGGTCCACAATGGCAAGTATCCAAAATTATTATGTTACGAAAAGGTTGGTTGGGCTATTTATTTAGATGATTTATCATGCACTAGAAGTAAAGCAAGCACGAACGAGGTAGTGAATTTCAAATTTGGTGGTAGGAAGGAAAAAAATGTATAGAAGATAATATGGTTGTAAGAAGTTTAAAAAGATTTAATTATGCTAGAATTACTAAACTATGTTGTTCTATACTGAAATGATATGGAAGGAAGGAGTTATGCACTGAAATTTGATGATTGGGAGACTGTACTATTGCCTGCTCTATAGTAGTGGTTTTCTGTAAAGTTCTCGATGCAGATTGTCAACAGATTGATGATCTTAATTTTTTTATATTATCAAATGATTGTATTTTGTTTGATGTCGGATGCAAAATCTCCACATTTCTATGCTTTAAATGCTTCTTTCGATGGCATTGTGCTAATATTTTCCACCTCAGATTTCATCTGCAACGCTTTCCAAAACTGCCCAGAAAAAAGGTTCTGCAGGGCACAAAAAGCCATTGGAAGCTTCAGGCACTTCACCTCCATCAAGGTTAGCATTATAATTTCATTGATTTGTTTTGATTTACACAATTTTAATCATATTTTTTTGTCTGTCTTGAAGCAAAAAGCAGAAAACTTCTGGGGCATTCCATGATCAGAGCATCGATCAACTGAATGATGTTACAGCTGTCAGTGGAGTTAATCTTAGGGTATGTTGCTTTGCTTCATTTACTACAGGGGCATTTTCATACACAGCACATAATTTTAATATATCTTCATACACCTCACGCCCAAACTTCTGTATTTACACAAATATTGTTACCACTTTATAAAAGTGAATTGCACCTTTTCACGCATAGGTTTAAAACAACAAGTGCTATGTATGTAAATATGAAAGTTTAGGTGTGAGACTTGCAAATACATGAGAATTGTCTAGTTATGTAAGTTTCCCTTTACTTTATCTTGCATTTCTTTGTTTTCTCTATATTAATCTCGTAGTATGTTGTTTTTACTAAATCCACTTGCGTCCTTATTGCCTTGTATGCATTTGGTAGCACTGGGTGTCAAATTTATATTTTTTATCTTCTGCTTTACGGTAGGAGGAAGAGGAGCAGCTATTATGTGCTCCTAAAGAGGAGAGTCGGGCTTCCGAAGCCAGTCGAAAAGTTGTGCAAGAGGAAGAAGAAAGATTAATTCTCCAGAGGGGTTCTCTTCAGAAAAAGCTAGCAGAAATCAGTTACTTTAAACAATATTATTATTTTTTCCCACAAGTAAAATTCTTTTAGGGGCATTTACAAACATACCACATAATTCTTATGTATTTACATATCTAACACCTAAACATTCATATTTACATGCATGTCAATCAAATCCTTAACATCAAATCAAATATACCACTGTTAATATTTTCTTAAAAGTGAAATACACCTTTTCATGCATAAGTTTATGACACCAAGGCGTTATAAATGTGTGGTACGTATGTGAATTTCCCATTGTTTTATCACTTAACAAAACATTAAGCTGATATTTTGATTCCCTTGCAGCATCTAAATATGGTATAAAGAGTATCGGCAGTGATGTGGAGCGGTGCTTGTCATTGGTGAGACACCATAGGAACCGAGTTGTAGAATGTTTAGTGTCTGATTCTTGAGTATTTTTGTGCCTAATCTTAACTCACACTTTTTCATTAGTGCGTAGAAGAGCGCTTACGTGGATTGTTAAGTTACCTGATCAGGCTGGCAAAGCAGGTCGATCTTATTTGTTTTGTTTGTCCTTTTTACCGTTAGGTCTCCCTTTGTGTGACATAGTTTAAATGTTTCAAGAGGGTTGATAGTGAAAAGGCAAGACACCGGTTTGTTGTTACGTCAGATGTTGGACGACAAATCTTGTCGATAAACAAACAAATAAAGGACAACTGGGAAAAAAAACAGGCGGAGGAGGCGGAAAAGCTCCGAAAAGCCAATGATGTGAGTATTTTTTCCATTTAACTTTTTTAATCTAAATTTTCTATTTCTTTTTTTTTCATTTTCAGAAGCTCAATAGCGAACACAACACCATCCAGATGTAAATGTGTATTTTTTATCTCTAATGAAATTAAATGATGTTATCTACTATTGCCATACTTTACAGCAACATTACTATAAATTTAATATGCAAATTTACACTTTCTCTTTCCATATTCTTGACTCATGACTATATCTTTCAACACGAATGGGTAATAGACTATCTGGTTGTTTTTATGCAAGGCTTGCTAAAACAGTTATTCGTCAATCTGCTGATCTAAATTCGATCCTACCTCGTATTACGATATCAATGTAGATGAACCGCTTGGTCGATGTAGCACCTTTGCGTGATGCCATGTGTCCCTTTAAGATGGCACTTGGATGAATTGATTCCTTCAATAAAGTGGATGTCTGGTTTATTTTTGTTGTGATTTTGGCGTATCAAGTCATTAACCCATGAACTTAGTTTTGCAGAACTTGCTCGCACACGTAGCAATGGCGTAGGTTGACTAGACCAAATGACTGAGCTCAACCTTCTTTTTAGACTTTTTTATAGTGAGTTACGCGAAACCATATCGTGACAAAATGGATGAAAATTGGCGGTAGAATTAAATTAATATCATTTAGTATATTCCGATGAGCTACAACTTTGCAAGCCATTATTTGACGGTGCTAATGGTAGATCCCTTCGGATTTATAAGGAGATAATAACGATATGAAGGACCCTTCAATGCATCGAGGCGTGGATGCTGACGTGGCAAAGGGAGGCTAAGTTGTTGTAGGCAGGTTTTTGTAAGCGCTGGTAGAAAGCGGGTTGGCTTACCTGCTAGCTAGAGTCATGTGGGTCAAACCGTCACACACGCTTCTTCTTGGATCATCTTGATCTGGGATGATTCTATTAGATGTAGTTAAAGTACTAGACGCTTTCCCTTTCCATTTTATCATAAAGTCTTTTTAAAATAATTCAAATTTTAGAAAATGAAGTACCATAAATAATTAACTAGGACAACTAGGGCATTATTATGCTATGTTATGTTATTAGCCTTTTTAGTAACCCATATGGACTAGTTAGTTTATGCTAATATGATCTGAAAGAGATGTTTAGTATTGGTGAAAAAAATTTAGCTGTGGTAGGTTTATCTTTACTGCTGTATCAAATCCTTCCACAGTTCTCATTTTATATTAGATTGGACAAAAAATGGTAGTGGCATTCACATACATACCACCAAATTCTTATGTAATTACATATCTAACACCTAAGCTTCACTTTTTGACATTTATAAAACCAAAACCTTTCATAGCACCTTTTTAACTTTCAGAAAGTGAAATTGGTAAGGCGGTGCGTGTGTAAAAATTGAAGCTTAGGTGTTTTATTTGTAAATGCATTGGAGCTGAGTGGTATATGTAAAATTGAAAGTCTATTTTGTTAAATATTTTAAAATGTTTCTGAACCTAAACAAAAATGCTTGAAATTCTAATTCTTCATGTCGTGCAATGGCAGGCCGATATAAAGACTGGAAGTGAAACAGAGAAGGACAAAGAGAAGGAGAAGGAAAAAGAAGACGGTCGTCTAAAGGCAACCAAGGTGGTGACATCTTTGGATCAAGCCTACAAAAAATGGAGAATATATCCCACCCTTCACGGACCTCACCATCATTAGAATTTATTCTCACTTCATAATCCGCACCCAATCATTTCACCATTCTCTTCGCCAACCTTGACATCATTTTCTTACAGGCCAATAAAGAAGAAGACGACAAAATGCGAACTAACGCCGCGAATGTCGCCGCTCGAGCTGCCGTTGGTGTAGGCGATATGTTATCCAAGTGGCAGCTAATGGCCGAACAAGCTCGACAAAAGCGTGGAGGATTGGATGGAACATCTTCATCCCAGTCTACGAAAACTATTAGCGATAAATCTACTCCAAACTTCAAAAGGTCTGAACTGCAAGAATCCGAAACGCATGGTTCCCCAGCACCTCAGCCTGGTAAGTTAATCATATTCATCATCGGAAAAAATAAGATATGCGTACATACCACTTAATTTCTATGATTTACATGTCTAACCCCAAACTTCAACTTTTACATGCATGCCATCTGACATACATTAAAATGTGTATTCACTTTTTGGAAGTTAAAATAATGGTATTTTTAATGTAATATGAAAGATTTTGGTGGTATAAATGTAAAAAAAGTTAAAAGTTCTGGTGTTACATATGTAAATACATAGGAATTGGTGGTATGTATGTAAATGACCCAAAAAATAAGTAAAAGGATTTACATACATAACTCTCAATTCTTATGTATTTACATGCATGCCGTCTTAGACATGAAAGGGTGTATCTCACTTTTTAGAAGTTAAAATAATAGTATTTTTGATGCAATATTAAATATTTTGGTGCTAAAAAATAATTAGGAAGATTTACATATATGCCTCTCAATTTTTATGTATTTACATATTTAACACCCAAACTTAAATTTTTACATATATGCCACCTCACCTACACATGAAAAGGTGTATTTCACTTTTTTAAAGTTAAACAATGGCATTTTTTATGTGATATGAAATATTTGTGGAGTATAAATGTTAAAAATAAAGTTTAAATTTTTGATATGTTAATGCGTAGGAATTGGGTTGGTATGTGTGTAAATGTCCCCAAAAAATAATTTATTTCTATGTCTTTCTTCCCATGTTTTAGGAATCAGACGAAAAGCTCCCAGAATTCAATCTGGGATGCCAAATGTTAAAGTTCCCTGCAGCATCTCTGTGAAGGATGTGATATCAGCCTTAGAGAGGGAGCCCCAAATGTCAAAATCAAGTTTGTTATACAGACTCTATGAGAGAAAAGGTGGTGATTCTGCTGCAGTGGAACAGCTTGGTTCGCTCTAATAAAAAGGTACGTGTGCCATTCAAAAAAGTTTGGTTGTGGGGTTAGGAAGTTAGGAAGTAGAAGGAAATGTAGCCAAGGAAAGCAGACTATAAGTTGTGCATTTCTTTCTGCTATGTTTTGTTCTGTGTAATATTTTTCGAAATATATTTTTTCTATTGTTGCAGCTTTTAACTCATCAATCTGTCATTTTTGCTGTTCCATAATGGAGAAAATAATACATCCGATTGCGTCAGGAGTCCAGTGAGAACTTGCTACATGGCAAGTTGGGCCCACTGTAATACACTGATTTAGCAGTTTTTTCAGATGGGTGGGGCCCACTTGCAATGTGGCACAATCCCACTCGACTCCGGAGTTTAGATGTAATATTTTTTTTGTGTATAATGGTGGTAAGTTCTCTGTACTTAACAGAAATTCTGGGTATGTGAGCCCAAAGGCCAACTTAGTTAGGGTTAGGGCCTGCTAGAAACTGTGCTAGAGCTGAGGAAAGCTGGGCTCCAATTCAACAATCCATTGATTTAAGCGTGTCTCTCTCTCTCTCTTGCACCACCCCCACCAAACATCGAAACGTCTTTTGTTGTAACAGTTGAAAATCCAAGTTATGTGTGCTCGCATTTGAGCACTATCAGGATGGGTGGTCTCCTGGCAGCTTATACTTATAGGATAAAATTGTGATGCCATTAGGCCAAATTGGATAATATCTCGATGGGTGAGAGTTCAGGCTGTTACAAATGACATTCGAGTATTTTACTAGCGTGATGATATGTCCAGTGGATGATTTGGGTTAAGAAAACTTAGGACATTAGTTACTTGTGTGAGGAGATTGTGAACTCCTCATGTAGAATGAAGTTAAACTCTAGTAAATTGAGACCCCTTTAGGTATCACGGTTGGAGTTTCAATAGAGCTTTCAAAGCTAAGCGTGCTAGTATGGTAGCACTTGTATGTTGTGTGCTTCTTGGGAAATTATATCAAGGGACAAAAAAATCAAGTCATTAATCTAAAACGGACAATATCTCGATGGACGAGAGTTTGGGTTGTTACACACACGTGCGTGCAGATAGTGTTTTCCATACTCATCTCAATTAATGTAAATAACAATTTTTATTTATTTACATATGTAACATTTGAAATTTGATATTTACATATATAATGTTTGGGTATCATATTTTACTTTTTAAGGAGATAGTGATAGTTATACTTTCGGTGTGAAGGAAAATATTTGGGGATATGCATGTAAATATGATTGTTTACAAAAGCCAACAAAATTAATATTTCCTGTCACCATCCATTGCTTTTTAGTGGAGATAATTGCTTCCAATTTTGCAGAGTATGAAAGCAAAAGTCATATCCGAAAAGAATTATAAAAAATAAAGACTACTTTATTGGCCGGCTCTATCGTGAGTAAAAAAATTGCGTACGTAAGACGTACACAGCGTTGCGTGCATAATGGAGGTTATATAGAGTTTACATGGAGGTTACAAACGATATAACAGGAATATAATGTTGGTATAACATTCATGTAATTTTCATTACGTACGCAGCGTTGCGTACGTCTTACGTACGCAAATTATTTTCCTATCACGAAGCTCGTAGCGATTTTACTTCAAGTTAAGAAACAATAATTTACACCATCAAATTTAGTTTTTTGAAAATCTCTCTTAAAAATTGTCAAAATATTTATTTTTAGGATATGAAAATAATGTAAAAATTTATATTTATTTTTTTTGAAAAATAGTATGAAAATACCTCTTAATTTTTATGTATTTTCATATATAATAACTAAGAATCTGTTTGAAGAGTTGTAGCTTATTGAATAATCTGTTGATAAGCTGATTAAAAATAATTTGTTAGGTGCGGTGGTTATTAAAAATTTTATTTTCTTGGAAAAGTTAGATCGCTGTCAGAAGTCTTCCACCGCCCCTAGATAGGTACGGTGTGAAAACGCTACTTTCAACGTTTTTAAAACGCAGTTTACCCAAAGTGCATTTTCAAAATGCCACCGCATCAAATAAGCTACCCTAAACGGATCCTAAATTTTCCTCTTTACTTTCATAACACTCAAATATTTAGTAATTACACAAAAATTATCAGTATTGAAGCCAAAAAATGCTGTAAAAATAATATGAGAGTTTAGGTGTTACTGTGTAAATTTATTCAATTTTATTTCGGTCACTCAAACATGAAAAATATGCAGTAATTAATTTTTCTTAATTAATCATTAATTTCATAAAATTTAAGTGGTATGATAAGTGGAGGCAATTTTTTTTTTTAAAATTTGTTGTTAAATAAAAAAATATTATATATTTTTATTATTTAAATTGACGACACTATTAAAATTTTGAATATCTAATTTCCTCTATCGCATGTCTGTAAGAAGATTTAAAATAAAATAATAATAATAACTTATTACAACATATCTTTAAGTAATATTTAACGCTCAATTCCTATATATTTACATATCTAACATCTAAACTTCAATCTTTACATACGTATCATCTTATGCTTTGAATATGGGCATTTAAATTTTTCAAAACTAAAATGATATTGTTGAATTATGATTTGTCTATGAATCACAGCTCATGGGATGGAGGGTGAGTGAGATGAGAGAGGGAGAGAGATAAATAAATGATAAAAGGTTTTAATAAAGATTAAAATGATTCCTATATTTATATTAGAGTTGGTATAATATGATGATATTATATGTTTGTCTCTACAGGATATTTCAAGTATTTTATGTGTATGAGTCAATCACTTGGTTTGCTAAGCTCGATTGGTATAGTCGGTTAACTGAATAGGATTAGTTGCGGGTCTACAGAGGCGGCTTGGTCAGCTAGGCTCGATTGACGTAGTCGATCAACTGATCTAGCCTGGTTATCGACCCTTGATCCCTGCTGATGAGTCTCCAAGGTGCTTGTGGGATAATTATTATCCTTGCATAAATAAATCTTTCCTTATATCAACTCTTGATGATTGGCCTCCCATTATTGATTGAAAATGATGGGGAGTTGAGTCTTCTCTCGGGTCACCTCCATTGTGGTTGTTGCCTTGGATTCCTCTCTCTCCCATATAACATAATGGTTTGAAGTTCGAAGTACGATCATTCAATCACCTTCAATGGCTTGATCAGCTCTGATATTGTGAGCTCTGTGTCACAAACTAACTAATCTCAAGTCACCCGTGTGGCTTTAGCGCTCTTCCTTGACACTAAATCAACATAACCCTCAAAACACTTGATTTTGTAAACACAAAACACTAGAAGAAGAGTAGGGATAAATATTGGAGAAAGGAACACTTCATTAAGAAAGAAGGATTACAACACTTGGATGCTTGGAAGATTTTCTTAGGTCTTTTTTTGGATGATTACAAATGAGGGGAAGAACTCCTATTTATAGCCCCCACCAGGCTGAAGGAAAACTTCTAGATTACATGAGAATAACCGAGTTTTTAGAGAATTCTCTACTATTCATATATAGATACATAGCCCTAGAATTTTCTAGGTTATTCTTTAGTTCTCCTTGGAGCCTGTCCTTCTCTTATTCTCTAGAATTGGGTGGAATCTTCTAGAATCCCTTGAATTGCTCTCTACAATCTAGTCATCTCTAAAATCTTTCAACTCATGCTTGCTTTGCCAATTTTTAGAGGATGACAGAGCGTGACACTCTCCCCCCACTTAAGCTCGCAATGCCCTCATAACAGCTTCCCCTTTGTACTTGGACCAACTTCCTTTGTTTGCTCTTGGTAAACTTAGGTTTTTTATTAGTGATATGGGGGGAGGGGGTGTCATGCAATGAGACTTCATGGTTGGCGGCTTAGTCCTTGGCTCCAATCTAATCAGATAGTTTTTCTCCCTCCTTGGTGGTGGTTCAATAAGACCCTCCACCACTTCCCTTGACATGCCTTATTGGGGCTTCGCTTCTTTATCAGAGTCGTGAAGAACAACCAAGTAACTCCCCTTGTCTTTTGGAATGCCCTCTTTGAATTGGATGACCGATAGCACTTTGACTTCCTGCTTGTTAGCCATTGTTATCGGTACTAATCAAACTTGATTCCCTTTCTTGATGCACATGCTATTTACAAAGGGCATTGGGAATGCTCTTGCTTGATTCAAGAAGCTCATCCCCATAATAACTTTAAAATCATCCATTAGAATAACATAGAAATCTAAGGCACTTGACTACACTCCAAAATTGGTCTTTACTCCCATGGCTATTCCATGGATTGGCCTTAATACTAAATTGACCACATTGAACGAGCCTCCTCCTTCAGTCATCTGCAAACCCAATTTATTTGCTTACTCGTAAGAGGTGAAGTTATGGGAAGCACTTGTGTCCATCATTGCTCAAGTGGTCTTCTCGCATATTACCATCTGAGTAACCCCTTCGCTTGGGGTTTGTTAGAGCTTGCATCCCATTCAGCAGTTGTATAGCCCCTACTCATGTCACCGTATTATCACTTTCTTTCACTTGATGACTTGAGAGAAGAGAGTTCAAAGCCTTCTTTTGAGGACAATCTCTTGCCCAATGCGGTTCATCACAAATAAAGCACTTGTTGTGCGGTTTATTTTTGTCATTTTTAGGCTTCCATTTGTCTTTTGGTTTGGATGAAGTCGATTCATTGCGGGTCTCTTCCTTATGTTGGTTATTGTCTCCCCTTCTTTGACATATGTACTCTTCTTATCCTTTAGCTTTATGGACTCTCTTGAATAATCAATTAGGCTTTCGGCGACCACGATGACAGTGGCAAGATCTTGCACTCCGCACCTCCTAAGCTCTGTCTTTTCCCACTGTTGGAGTTCATCCATGAAGTTGAAAAAAGAATCCTTGTCATACATGTTAGGAATTTTAAGAACAAGCTTGTGAACTCCCTAATGTATTCCCGAATTGAACCTTGTTGCTTGAGCCTTCGCAATCAGGCTCTAGCATCTTCCTCCGCATTATCAAGATAGAACTGTCTCTTTATCTCTCGAAGTCGTTAAAGGTGGATATGGTGCATATACCTTTCTCAATATCTTTATGCCTTCATCTCTACCATAGCATTGCGATATTTGGGAGATAAAGAATTGTGAATTACATTCTTGCCTCTTCATCTATAATTCCCATTGGCCCAAATTCTTGTTCAAGTCCCCATAAGAAATTGTGAACTTCCTTCGTATTGCGAGCTCCTCCAAAACTCTTTGGTTTTGGAACTTCAATCCTCTTAGCTTCGAAGGCGTGATGGTTGGTGGTCGTCGCTATTGTACTCATGCATGGCGAGATGTCTCTACGCATTTCTTCTAATCTAATGTATGTCATTCATCTCGTATTCATGAGCTCTTCATACCTTTCTTATCTCCCCCATCAAATCCTTCTGCTTCTTAATCCATTTGATCCCTTCAGGATTCCTCTAATTGGAGCGTCGTTTTAACTGTTGAATGGAGTGTGATGTCCTCCTCCTCGAGTCCATCAATCTTCTGGCCAAGTTCCTCTATCTGGGCCTTCATGTCATTCATCGCTTCCTCTACCCGAGCAATGCACGAATGAAAGTCATGAATGATCTTCTTGGACCCTCACATGTGGTTTGCATGCAACTAGATCTTGTTGCTCCCAACGACCCCGCCCTTGTTGAGATGATTCCACATTAGTGGCTTCGGGCTCCATTACGTACTCTTTGACGCTCTTTTTCATACCTTCAAACAAAAGCTCTGATATGAACTATCATGAACTAACTTATCTCAAGTCAGTCATGCGGCTTTAACGTTCTTCATTGACACTAAATCAATCTAACTCTCACAACACTTGACCTGTAAACACAAAACACTCTAAGAAGAAGAGTATGAAGAGTATTGGAGAAATGAACACTTCAATAAGAAAGAACAATTACAACATTTAAATGCTTGAAAGCTTGTAATGTTTTTCTTGGTTCCTTTCTTGGATGGTTACAAATGAGCAGATGAACTCCTATGTATAGCATACTCCAAGCCCAAGAGAAACTTCTAGATTACATGAGAATAGCCGAGTTTTTAGAAAGTTCTCTACTTTTCATATATACATACATAGCCCTAAAACTTTCTAAGTTATTCTTGAGTTCTCATTGGAACTTTTTTCTTCTCATATTTTATAGAATTGGGTGAATTTTCTAGATTCCCTCGAATCCCTCTATAGTCTGGTCTTCTCCAAAATCTTCCATCACATGCTTGCCTTGCCAATTTGTAGAGGAAGACGGAGCGTGGCATCTGACTCAAATGACTGCTCTCGATCGGCTAATAAGTGAGTCTCATAGTCATATGATATTGCGACCCACTTTGTCGTGTTTTTCTCCGTAACGTTACTTCTCAAGATTAGTACTAGCCCAGTTTTCCACGCACAAATACTATAGATTTGAACATCATAAATATGAAAAATAGAACTTAAATATTAGATGTGTAAATACGTAGAAGTTGGGCGGTATTTATCCGAAATAGTACTCTAAACTGCTCACTCCTAAAAGGCTAAAATCCTTAATGGATATATAACAAGAGTTGGAAATATCGCCGATCGCAGATCATCTCCCTCTCTACCGGCGGGGTGAACCGGAAGATCGGGGTGCGGCAGCCATGTCTAAAGCTCGATTACGCAGACGTCAACGTGATCCGCCCCAAGGAGTATTGGGACTACGAGGCACTAACTGTGCAGTGGGGGTAAGAGCCCTTTCATATACCTAACTGCTTTCTTTTTTTTTTTTCAGATTTATTCTTGTTTTGTCTGCGGTGGATTGGAACTGTGTGTTCTAGGGTTTCTGTGTATGCTTGACGCAGCTGTCTTGTTTTCTTTTGTCATCTCTTTCTTTGATGGGATTTTGAGAGACCGGCTGTTCTGGTATTTGCTGTCCTGTTCTCTTAATCATGATCATCAATATATCAGATTCATATTGCGAGTTTCTTGTGCTACGAAGGGTTGATCTGAATAGTTTTTCTTAACTGATTCGTTTTTTATTAAATCCTGTGGGTTCTTATTTACTGTGGGATGTTGAAGCAAACTAACAAAACCTGAGAAGAGCATTTGATTTCCTATTTGCAGTTTAGAAGCTGGTTAACATGTAAGCTGTGGAAGTTTTGACTTGCAGTAGCAGGGTATAGGAATTTTGGAGGGGTGGAAAGTGGCATCTCGGTGTATGATGTTTAGATTGGTTATCCAGTGTATGATTTTTTTTTTAACTGTAAAAATTAAGTCATACATAGTTTTCTTAGTGGGTCTTCAGCAGTTTTTTTTCATTATGAGGTTCTGAACAGGGTTCCTCGAAACCTTGCTTGATCAATAGAATTTGTCTTTATAAGAAATACTTGAAAGTCACTTCAATCCTCTCACATTTATGTCATCCATTTCAACAAAGAAGCACTGGAACTCAGTTTCACTGACAATGATACAAAGAGACCCAATGAATGTTATTGTTCTCAAATAATCTAATTGAATAGTTATTTTGCGATTATGCACTGGATTTGTGATATGTTTTTAAATTGAGCTCCTCTCTTAGATATAACAGATGCTTGATGGCTCCGGTTTGTCCTAACCATACTTCTCTTTCGTTCAGTGATCAAGATGATTATGAGGTTGTTCGGAAAGTTGGAAGAGGGAAGTACAGTGAGGTCTTTGAAGGTGTTAATGTTTCAAATAATGAGAGATGCATCATCAAAATTCTGAAACCTGTTAAGAAAAAGAAGGTACAGATTCCTTTACGAGTGCACATCTTATTTATCATCAATCTTTATAATCCACCATATAATTTGCTTTCTTCATCTTCTTATATATATATATATTTTTTCAGCGCCTTTAAGTGTTATAATGGATTTATGTCAGCTCCTTGGTTGTATAGTTGGGAATTGGATGATTGTTGATGCTTGCAATTTCATTGATATGTAATAAGCACATTTCTCCCATTAAGAGGATTTAGAAGTTGAAAAACATTGCTTTTAAATTTGCATGGACAATAGGAACTTATGTTTCTCTTTTATTGGTATTTTTGGTCTATCCTTTGACCTTCGAGGATATTTTTTTCTTAGAATTAGATCTAATCAAGAATCAATCATAATGCAAAATACCAGATTTATAGGCTTCAGCACGGGTAAATATGAGTTGTTGCCGTCCAGGCTGTGAAATTTCTGAACATTGACATTGTTTTATAAGCAGCTCTATCTTCCTGAACACTATCAGTGTCTATGTTGGAAATTAATAATACTCTTTTATCATTCATATTCATACCTTTTTAGCCATTTTGAGTTTACTATTTGACATCAATACAATTATAAGTTTTCATTGAAGTTTGTTGACCATGTCTGTTTGGTATAATGCATTAAAGCTTGCATTGAGTAATGCTTATGATGATTTAGCATGAAAGAAAGATCTATTCCTCAGTTGATTATTAACTATTGATTATCCATATCAACGCAGAATCACTCACCTCCAACAAAAACACACGCACATAAAAATATGTTGCGCACCTAACAACCAATTATTGCTGTTTTGAAAAGTTAAAAAAACTTGATTCTTTAGTTAGTCATTCACTGCATAGATCTTTTTAATCAATGAGCATTCATATGAGTTGTCTTCTTATTTCTTTTTATTTCACCTAACTGAATTAACTTTTGTTTTTCAGATAAAGAGGGAGATTAAGATACTTCAGAACCTTTGTGGGGGTCCTAATATAGTGAAGCTTCTTGATATTGTCAGAGACCAGCATTCTAAAACCCCCAGCTTGGTATTTGAATATGTGAACAGTACAGATTTTAAAATCTTATACCCCACGCTCACAGATTATGACATTCGCTACTACATTTATGAGCTTCTTAAGGTTTTTCCTTAATCTTCTTAAAAGTTTTTCTACTTTTACTTGCTTATGTCATATTCTGTGTTGCTCTTTTATATAAGGATCATGCTTTTGTTGTGTTATCATAATAAGAATATCTTTGAAAAGAAGCTGATTTAACTTTGTGATATGTACTTTTTGTAAGTTAAAGATTTATTTTGAGAACCACCACAACATAATTTATTGTTATATGCTTCAGGTTCTGAAGTTGGTTTAAGTTTTTGAAGTAGAACAAGCACTTTGGAACTTCATTGCTCTTTTAGAAGGACAAATTTGTGAATAGATCCTTGGTTGAACATTGAAATTAAAGGACAAACTCCTAAGTTGGTGTTGTTCAAAGTGCTGATGCCACGTTAAAGCTTCCAACATAGTTTTTCTGACTGATTTTTGTCTTCAATTTTGGCGAAGTTTGACATAGTTTCATTAAAGATTGGTCTCGGATGGGGAGATTATATTTTGTTATTAGAGGCTTTGGGAAGTTTTTTGACATCTTTATGGGGTCATGATTACTTGTTTGTCGTGATTACTAACTTGAAATGTTGCTGGCACAATTACACTGCATTTGAAATATTTCCTTAACTTATTTAAAAAATGTAAGATGTTACTCTTACAATAATAAAATTAACTTTTCAATCTGGACAATTTTTTACATGTTTTTCAAGGTTTTCTTTGTTATAAAAATTTAACTATGGTTATATTTAAGGTGCTTTAGGCTTATTATTTATAGTCAGACTCTTGTTAATTTTTATTTAAATCCGAGCATATGAAATAGTTTTGAGTTTAATTTAAAACACAGTTATTTATTCATGAGGTATGGATATCTACTTTTATGATTTTTTTTTTAAATGATATGTTCTTGTTCAAATACCTCAGCATACATTTAAGGACGAACCCTTCTTTATAATCAGAGAAACTTACTATCATCTTATATTTTTTGTGCTACCCGCTAATGAAATTTCAATATTGGGTTAAGCACAGGAAATTGAGATATAAGACTTCAACATCACTATCATCACTACTCTTATCTTTTAGTGGTTATTCTTATGTATAACATCAATACATCATGCTTCCCTTTTGAGTGCTAGAACAGATGCTAGCCCTATTTTGTGAAAAACCTTTTGTACAACTTCTAATTATCTAGATTGTGTTATTTTATTCTTTTCCTAATCCTTCCATGCATATTTTATGTATATGCTTTATTTTAAATTTTCTTCATTTGCCATATGCTCTAATCATGTAATTTTACTTTTCTTATTTTTTTCTTATCCATAGGCATTTCTCCCACATGCCCAATATCATTTCTATTTTTACCACATATGTATGTTAGCATTTTCCTTTTCATCAGAGTCGATATGGCGATATGGCTATTGCTTTGCTTTATTAATGGTTTTTTAAATTTAGTTCTTAAACCCTTATATCACAGTAATTTTCAGTTTTATAGCATCTGCTTTTGTATTTTCAAGATATTCTCATGTTGCTTAGTTTTTGCACAAGACGCCTCCAGTTGTGTTACTCAGTCTTAAGTCGACAAGTTGTACCATCATTACTATAGATAGAATCATAGAAGCTTCAAGACAAGTTGTACCATCATTATTATAGATAGTAACTTCAAGATAATTAAACTTACAAATATGTACATCACTTGCTCCCTAAGGATATTGAGTAATCTTTATTAATTTACTCCCACTAAAATTGCACATCATATACTAGGTTATTTTATTAACCTTAAGCCATAAGTCTTTCAAATTTTAATTTATGTTTTTCTTTATACTTTCCACTTAGTTTAGAAAAGATCCCATGTATTAGCAGTCACAAGAATGTGTCAATTTGATATCTTTTGTATGTCTCTTCATAACATTACAAAGAATTTTGATTTGATGCTTGAGATATCCTTATTGTGGCAGAAGACTCTTTGATCAAGCTATAATTACTTAATGTAATCGTAATCAATGCTTTATGATATATTTTAATAATTTTGCTGTAACATATTTCTTGTATAACTTTCAACATAATAATTTTTGTGGTATGCAATCTTACATTTTCTCTGAGTAAACATAATTTATATATCATTTCCTTGCCCTTTGTATTTTTTCATTATTTCCTATGCACAAAAATGTTTCAGAGTAAATCTTAAACCAAGTTGATTTTTCATTATTAATTTGATTTTTGTATACCTATATTTTCTTACTGTCTCCCATGACTTTTATTATATGCCTCTTATGTTTGCTACCTCCATCATTACCAAAATCATGAACATTTTTTTATTAAATAGTAAGTAATAAATGCTACTTCTCTAATTATCCGACTTCTCCTAGCCTTTAAATTCCATAAAATAAATATTTATTAGATAGTTACTCTAGTATCTCCAAAATTTATCCAATTCTTGTTGCGATCTCATCCAGTCACAAAATTTTATCCATACACATTTTCTTAATAGCTAACTTGATTCACTTTTGTAAATTTATCAATAATATTCTTCATGATTTTTTTTTTAAATTCTACTTTAATAATCATTCGAAGAACATTTCATCTTTCTTTGATATCTTCAACTTCAACTAAGATTTTTTATCGTCACTTTGAATATATTTAACTTATCAAATTAATAATTTTAAAATTGTCAAGTGAACATATGGTTGTTTATGCTGAGGCACTAGATGCCGCAATAATTGCTCATCAAAGTAGAACGAGGCTGTTGAAGATAAATTATATTGCATACATAATAGTTTAATTATGAGGAGCATGTGCTAAATAATCTTTAATTGTTGAAGTGTTTGTGACCATTTCCCTAATCAAGGCAATGTAATTGCATCATTACTTGAGGTCTCGCATCATTGTGTTATGTTTTAGGAAACATATTTACTTAATAATAACTGCCCACTTGGGAGGTGTGTAAGAATTTGTGACTTTCCATCCTTCCAGATCCTATGAGAGTGCCTTTCTCGGCCTTTATCAACATTGGATCAAAGTCTTTAAAAACCCTACTTTAATATTAGCTAGTTTATAAAATTTATTTTTCTATTTCATTAATTCTAAGCTTTTTACGTAAATCATAAAAAAATTGTATGATTTATTTTGCTTATTGCGTTACTATGATTTCTAGATTCTTTTTAATTATCACAAGCCTAGAAGTTTTTTTCTTGTTCTATAAAAGAAGCATAATTTCTTGATTTGATGACCTTTTTAACCTCCTCACTCCACCATTAAATCTTATATATTATCTACTAATGGATAATCCTAAAATTGCTATTCTTAATACAAGTACCCTTGCTATCTCTCAATTCATTTGAATTAATAATAGTATTATATATTTTTTCTATCCTTTTAAATAAGCTTAATTTCTTGATTTGATGATTTCTTATACCTCTTCACTCCACCATCGGCTCTCCTTATATAATATATACTAATAGATAATCCTAAAATTGCTATTCTTAATACAATTTTCCTTATATCTCAATTCATCTTGATCAACTATAGTATTCTATATTTTTCTATTTTTTAAAGAAGCATAATTTCTTCATTTGATGTCTTTTTCTACCTACTTGCTCCACTAATGGGTCTCCTTATATATGATCTACTAATAGATAATCCTAAAATTGCTGTTCTTAATACATGTACTCTTGTTATCTCTCAATTAACTTAGATTTATAATATTCTATTTTTTTCTCTTTTAACAACCCATTTATTTTAAGAGTAATGGCTTCCTAACCTTTATGTCCCACCATCTTATATCGTCTTTTTTTTTTTCTTTATTTGATTATTTGTACTTTGAGATATGCATCCATAACTACTTATATGTGTTGTCTTGTCAATTTTTTTCTTGCGAAAACTACCTTATAAAGAGATTTTTTTCCTTCTAAGAGTTTATTTGTGAATTTCTGGGTCCATTTTTAAAACCAATTAAGCATTTATTTCATTCTGTTAAACAAGGTTGAGAAAATTAGACCAGAAGTTGAACCAGTAGAAGAGGAGGTTAAGGTTCAACAGTTGAATCGGAAGTTGAAACGGACGGCGTCATAAATATTAAAAAAATATTAAATGATAAAACCTGAAAGATAAAATTCTTAATGTTGTAGTATGCAATATAAAAAATATAGCATGAAATATAAATCATTTATAAACTTAAAAAATCATTCAAATGCCTAACATTTTTTTTTTGGTAACTGATAGCGATGTTGATTCATTGAATTATTTTATTTTACTACTTTAAGCTATTGTTTCTCTAAAATAAAAATATAAATAAAAAAGAAAATGTTAGCATCAATCGAAAAGATTTGTAAGTGACTAAAAGATAAAAAAGTAATATTAAATATCTTGCAATCAGTATGAATAAAAGTGCTTATAAACTAATCTGAACAATAAATCAATATGCATGATACACTATTACTGCATGAAAAGAAGAAATCAAGTATTACACTCCAAAAAATGTCTCTCAAGAAGCACTAAAAGAATAAAATAGAAATCAAACTCCCAAGTTATGTCTCAAAAAACATGGAAAAAATAACAAAAACAAATTTGATATCAAGCATATTTGTGGTGCTTCCGCGAATGTTGCATCTCCAAAAATTTCATCCTCAAAAGCCGCTTCCCTAAAGTTTGTCCCTCTAAAAGCATCTAAATCCACATGTTCAGTTACTTTATCTGTACTATCAACAAATTCTCTTGCATCTATAAATCAAATTTATAAAATAATTTTTTTCATCAAAAGGAACAAATTAAATATAATTAAAAGCATACTTTTGTTTTGTCTATTATTTTCTTTATTCGGCCCTTGAGTAATGAGAAATGCATCATCTTTATAAATTTCATTTGCTAGATCATCATTATTAAGTTCATGAGTACATTCATCTTCAATAGTCTAAAAATCTATTGCTTCAATGATCCCTTAATCCAATAAATCATAATTTCTCTTTTTGGAGATCAATCTATAAATTATATTTATACTTAAAACTAATATAACATATATATATATATATATATATATATTAGCAATCATACATATTATTCAAATTAAGATTATATCGAACGTATACTAAATCATTTAGTCTTTGATGTTCTAAATGATTTCTTCATTTTGTATGATTTGCTAAAAAAACATTCCATTTTCTTTTACATCCAGATGAAGAAGACGTTTGACTAAGCATAGAAATATATAATTTTTGTAAATTTGGAGCACCAGAACCAACCATTTTCCAACATTCATATGTAAAATATTAATGATGATTAACTTTAATAAGATGCATAATTAAAAATAAATTTCATTCAATGCAAATTTAGAAATAGATTTCATTAATAACTATTAATATTTGAGAACTTACTTGGTTGCATTTTTTTTTTGTCATAGATATAGCAACTGACTTTCAAAAGCTTTCCAATTTATCTCGAAAAAGTCTAACTTCATCCATTGCAAATGTAGTGATACCGGAGGAAACCCAAATCAAAACGAAAAACAAATATTATTGTTGAAATTGGAAGGATTATAGACATGACGCTTGAAAACATGAAATAATGATAACAAAACAACAAGACAAACATAAAGATGCACACAAACACCAATAAGGGTTACGGTAGCGGGTAAATCTGATAGAGGGGTTGCGACAACCACTGGGCTGCTCGGGACGGGTTGTTGTAGCATTGGGAAGGCTGGAAACGACTAGAGTAGGAATGGGGAAGGCATGGGAGAGTTGCAGTCAGGTCTGGATTGGTTGGGAGGGCTTATGACAGGTTTTGGAAGGGCTGGAGTGAGTTCAACAATGAGTTCAACAAGCTGGTAGGTGGTAGGTCGGGGCGGCCAGGAGCAGGAAGAGGGCCAGAGGGTTGTGGAAAGATAAAATGTATCGTCGGGGTTGAGCTATAGCAGGAGCACCACCCAAAGCCAACGAGTTACAATCGAATCACCTTCTCGCCGCCGGGTATAGCACCCGGAGGGGAAGAACGCGTCAAGGCAGTAACTGAAATCAACAATTATAAAAAATCTCTCTTCCTAAGGAAATACATCCTCTATATAAGAAGGATTAGGACTTACATTAGGTAATGCTTTTGATCAGGAAATAAAATAAAAAGCAAGTAATATAATAGACAAGGATTTATAATAAGGGTTTTCATGGAAAAGGAAAGAAACATTATGAGGGAAAAGGAAAGATTAGGGGGAAGAAGATTGGACCGCGCAGTAACACGTCCGCGACATTGAGAGAAAACAGTTATTTGGTGTGCATACCTAAATCACTATGTTAGGGTCATAATCACAGATTAAGCAAAAAACAGTCACCAAGAGGATTAGGAGGATTAGGAGAAAGGGAAATTGTTATTTGAAAGGAAACAAAGGAAACTGAAAGCCCGGAAATGAATCTTATTGAATGCCTTTAGAAGCTGGTGAGTGAGGTGAAGTTTAAATTTGATTTGAAACTATGCCTTAGATGACGCCATTTTGGGTGCGTGAGTAGACGAAAAAAAGCTTTTATCAACTTTATGATTGGTAAGTAGCCATGTCAATAAATTAGCAAGCCAATAAGGGAATCTTCGTTATTTCTTTGTAAGAGAAATAAAGGAATGAGGATTGGAGTAGCAAAAGCTGCATTATTAAGTGGTTAAGCTGAGAAACTTAACAGAGTCCGTATATTAGTATTCTGTTACATTGTCTTGGGCATATCACTTGGGTTTTTCTTAAAGGAAAATGGCTTTCTAGGTAGCAGCAACTTATTGCCTATTTCTTGTTTTTTATTGGTTTTAAAGACTAAAATAGAATGAACGAGCTGGCTATGCCATGTGGAGTACAATTTTGTATGCATACTTGCACATGCACATGGGAAACTTATGCAGTAATATTTTTGTTGAGACGTTCAAAATCATCTACATTGAGCCTAATTTAACTTAAATCAGCTGAAAATTAGTTTAACTACATGTTTGAGCTTTTTTTTTAGTGAGTTTCAATTATTTTCAAGGAAACCATCCTTATTTGGTAGAAATAAAAATATGTGACAATTAAGTAAAATGGAATATCAATGTTTTTATGGTATTATGGAGTTTCTAGCTTTTTTGATATATCAATTAATTTATAATTTGTTAAAATTTGAAAACAATTTAGATATTCATCTTTAACAGAGTATTTTTGCATAATAATAAATGTATGAAGGCATGCCATAAAAAAGAAGTAGACGAGTAATATCTTATTGCTTGCTTGTACTAATTATGTAGTGATAAAAAAGGAAGTGGCATCTCTCTTCATTTGTTTGAACTTTCACTGTCACGGTTAGAGGCCATAACTTTCACTAGGCATGCTTCTCTTCTTAAGGATCTATTGGTTGCAAAATATATGAGAAAAGTTTAAATTATAATTCTACATTTGTTAAAGGCTTTTTTGTTTGAAATTCAACGAATTTTTAAATAAATCTACTTCATTTTGTATTTCATAGTGTAAAATTTTTGGCTGCAGGCCTTAGATTACTGCCATTCACAAGGAATTATGCACCGTGATGTTAAGCCTCACAATGTCATGATTGATCATGAGCTCCGTAAGCTACGCTTGATAGACTGGGGTCTTGCGGAATTCTATCATCCTGGAAAGGAGTACAATGTTCGCGTTGCTTCAAGGTGAAGAAATCTTTATGGACTATGCTTGTTTTTCTTGATTAGAGTTCAGGAGATGCTGATGCAGTTCATGCTTTGGAAAGATTAATAGTTGACATGGTGCTTACATTAAACTGGATAGTTGATTGGTTAATCTTAGAAATAGTTGGGCATATAATTAATGTTTATTTTGATTATGAGTAATAAATCTGGTTGCTTGTTAGTTTATACCTTATTCAGTGGGGCAGTAAATAATTTTTTCCTGCATGTGGTAATGAAATAATTTTGTTTATGAAGATGTTAAGCTTGTGCTGATGATTTTTGGCATATTATCTTTCTGTACAGATATTTTAAGGGCCCTGAACTGCTCGTTGATCTACAAGATTATGACTATTCTCTTGACATGTGGAGCCTTGGCTGCATGTTTGCCGGAATGGTACCTTCTTAGTTAAAATTTTTTAATAATAACCGTGAATAATTTTTTTTATTCTTGCTCTTATAAATGATTTATCTATCTCAAGGGGGTAACATTGCCAATGTCCTTTTTTTTTTGGTTGCAGATATTTCGCAAGGAACCATTTTTCTATGGGCATGACAACCAAGATCAGCTTGTCAAAATTGCCAAGGTATCAATCAGTGTCGAAATGGTTCTTAAGTTGTCTCTCTCATCTTCTATAGCGCACAACTTACAGCCAGATCCTCTCCCAACCCCAGCCAAAAGTGATCTCCAATCTTGTTATGGTTATACCACTCAAAGCACAACCCAAGCCCTCTCCCATCTCCAAATCGAACCTCTTCCAACTCTTTATATTTACATACATATTACACATTTCTTTTATATTTAAATATCTAACACTTAAACTTTCATATTTACATTTATAACAATTTGGTGTGATAAGTCTATGCATGAAAAGGTGCATTTTACTTTTTAAAAGTATGTGATAGTGGTATTTTTTATTTGATATTAAAGATTTGAGTACTATATATGTAGATATTTAAGTTTAGGTGTTAGATATGTAAATACATAAGAATTGTGTGGTGTGTATGCAAATGCCTCAAAAATAAATTAGGTTTCTCATCAGCAATAATTTGTTATGGTTAGCTTGATCTGCTCCTCTTCCACCTCATCCATTTTTTTTTAGAAGTTTTTAGTTGATCAATCCACCCCTTTTTATCGACATTCTTTTTCTTCTGATTTCTGAAGTAAAGTTACTATTGGTGAGATCCTAATAAAAGGTCCCTGTCATTGGCAAAATAATATTATTAATTTGTTACCCAGCCTAAGCGCCACCTCATTAACCACCCCCCTGAATTGATATTTGTATAACATCCTGTTATCATAACAATCTCCTCCTCCACCTCAGACGAAATATCATAGTAATTGTTTGTGATGAACTTATTGTCACCATTTATAAAGCCTAAATAACCTTTGCTTGTGATGTAAAGGACTGTTTGCTTGGGTTTACTTTATGGTTACATAAACTTCTCTTATAATTCAAGGCTTTAGCCTGCTAGCTTGATCCAGTATGTATAGCTTAAAGTTCAATTTTTTTCCTTCTTTTCTTGCAGGTACTAGGAACAGATGAATTAAATGCTTACTTGAACAAATATCGATTAGAACTTGATCCTCAACTTGAAGCAATGGTTGGAAGGTATTGATTAAGAATTACAAATTTCTAGAGGTTATATTTTAAGCCTATTTCTCTGTTTAGGTGACAATGAGAGCGTAGACTTTGCTGAGCATTATTTTGCAAAGGTTGATTAATTTGTGTTTGCATTACAGTTTTCTTCATGCTTTTGTATTGGTTGTAGGCACAGCAGGAAACCGTGGTCTAAATTTATCAATGCGGAAAACCAGCATCTGGTGTCCCCAGAGGTTGTACTCCCCGTTATTGATTTTTACTTATTTTATTTTATTTTTTATGGCCGTTACATATTACATGCATATCACCCAATTCCTACATATTTACATATCTAACACCTAAACTTAACTTTTTACATTTATAACACCCAAATTTTTCATATTACAACAAAAATATCATTATTTCAACTTTTAAAAAGTGAAATACATCTTTCCGTCCATAGCTAAGATGACATTTATGTAAAAATTGAAATTAGATATGTAAATACATAGGAATTGAGTGGCATGCATGTAAAGCTTCCTCTCCTTTTTTGGCTGAGAAAAAAGTTTCCTATGGAGTACCTCCATTGAAAATTGTACCCAAAGTTTTGACATTGATGCAGGCGATAGATTTTCTTGACAAGCTTTTGCGATATGATCACCAGGATAGACTCACGGCACGAGAAGCAATGGTAATTTTTCATACAGCTACAATTTACTTTTCTTATATTGTTACATTTGTTGTAGAGCTAAACTCTAAAATTATTGTGCTATGTTACAACTCTGTAGTCTTAATTGTTGATGCTGTGTGGAAACATTGCTAGAGGTTACCCCCCACGTATTTTATAGAATATTCTATAATTAATATAAAATTTTCGAACATCTCATGTCATACTCCAACGAAAGCATTGCTTTGTTTACTGAACAAAAACCTAATATGCTCTCGAACCAAAATTAGTAAATAACAACGACAAAACAACAATAAATAGATGGAAACAATTCAAATAAGGGCCGCTCTTACGAAACACAAATAAAAACAAGCATGATACAAGGTGATCTACTTTTCGAGAGGTAGATCGGCTCACCCACAACCCTAGACGTCGCTAGGACGCCAGAAGAAGAAGAAAAATACAACAACCAATGAAATATGCATAAAAGAAAACAAACCGTAGGCTCTTTCCTTAATAGAATTCTCACACAACATTTGAAACTCTCCCTCCAAACTCCCTTTAATTTTTTCTCCTTGAGTATGTGATTATGACCCTAGCGGACCTCACCCGCTCCTTTCCTCCCGTGGCAATTGGTTGCTTAGCTGCTTCTTGCGAAGAGGACCGACGCATCTATTGAGGGTGTAGGCTGATAGGAAGCCTTTTGACTGGTCCCTCCTGGACTGGTCGTGTTAGGGCGTAACAATACTCCCCTCCCAAAGAAGTACCTTGTTCTCAAGGTGGAAGAATGGAAATTGCTTGTGGATCACCTCGTAAGGCTCCCACGTTGCTTCATAGTCTGGCAATCATTTTCACTTAACCAATACCTCCTTTGCTCTCCCTACTCCGCAGCGCACTCCTTCGATCTCTAGCCGCTCCAGAATCATCTCCAAGTCTTTCTTTAGCGTCTACGGTATTGTAGACAATGGTGTATGTTCTCCAATCGAACGTTTCAACTGTGATACATGAAAGGCGGGTGTAGTGCGAATGATGATTGTAATCTTAAACAGTAGCCTACTGCCTCGATGTATGTCATCACCTCATAAGGACTTATGTATCACGGTGAAATTTTCTTGTTTCTCCTGGCCAATGTCTACTATTGGTAGGGTCTCAACTTCAAATGGACCATGTCCCCTACATCAAATTGCACGTTTCTTCTGTGTTCATCTGCTTTCCTCTTTATGATTTGTTGAGTTCTCAGTAAATGCCCCTTGAGCTCTGCTATTATTCTGTCCCTCTCCTCCAAGTATTGATCGACGTTGGATATCAATATGGTAGTATGCCCATAATGTATCAATTGAGATTGATCCCTTTCATGCAATATCTTGAAAGTGATTGTCTGTGTTGCGTCGTGGTACGAAGTCTTATGAACTTAGCCCATAGCTTCTGTTTATCGGATACAAAATAACGCAATTATGTCTCCACACTTCTGTTGACCACCTCTGTCTGCCATTGGTTTGGGGATGATACATGGTGCTTCTTTTAAGGGTTGTCACTTGCAATCTGAATTGCTCTTTCCAAAAGTGGCGGAAGAACACTTTGTCCCTATCCGATACAATCAATTCTGACACCCCGTGCAAACGAATCACTTCTCGGATAAACACCACTGCGAATGAGACCACAGTATAGGATGTCGTAAGGGAATGAAGTGTGCATATTTAGGCGATTCGCGACCACTATGACAACCGCTAACCCTTTTGATCGTGGCAACCCCTCGATGAAATCCATTGTCACCTCTTTGCAAACCTTTCCCGGTAATGCTAATGGTTGTAGTAACCCTCCTGGTGTCGCGGTCAAGTACTTATGCAGCTGACACATATCGCATTTTGCCACCATGTCCACCACCTCTCTGCGCATCTCTGCCCAATAAAGTTTTACCGCCAAACGATTGTAGGTATTCTGCAACCCCGAGTGTCCCCAGATCGTGCACTACCATGAAACTTATAATAATCTGAGAATATACTCCGATGTCTTGGGTGGCATGGATCACTCCTGATGGAGCGACTGCTACCCCCCTCAATGCATATCCTGACTGACTATTTGGATCCTGTAGTTACGTGGCCGTTATTTTTCTCAGCTCCTCATCCCTTCGGTTTCCTATCTCAAGACTTCTCAATCTAAAACCAAGGATACCAATAGGGCCGTCAAATGAGGTTCCTCCACTTGCCTTGTTCTCCAATCCCTACTGATATTGAATCTCAAAATCATACCCCAGTAGCTTGGTTAGCCATCTCTGATGCTCCTCAGTCACCATCCGCTGCTCCAAAAGATACTTTGAACTCTTATGATCTATCCTGACCAGAAAATGTCGTCTTAAGATAGGGTCGCCACTTCTGACTGCCAAGACAATAACCATCAATTTCTATTCTTATACTGACTTTAGCCTCACTTTGGCCGTAAGAACCTGTTTGAAGTAGGAAATCAGTCGCTGATCCTGCATGAGCATTGCTCCCAACCCGTACCATGATGCATCCATCTCTACCACAAATGGTTTACTAAAATCTGAAAGTATTAATATTGGGACACTAGTCATGACCCTCTTCAGATATTCAAATGTCTGTGTCGTCGCATCCCCTCATTTGAAACTGTCTTTCTTCAACTACTACATCAGTGGCCATGCTATCGTGTTATATCCTCTCACAAACTTTCGATAGCAGTCTGTGAGACCCAGGAATACTCTTAACTCCTTCAAACTCCTTGGTAGGGGCTAATCAACCATAGCCTTGATATTGGACTAATCCACTGCCACCCCTATTTTGATCACCACATGTCTTAGGTATTCTACCTGTAACTATGCAAATGAACATTTCTTCAAGTTGACATGCAAGTGGTGCTCTCTCAACATCTCCAAGACTGTCTTTAGGCGCACCACATGCTCCATCTCTGAACAAATGTAGACCAGAATATCTTTAAAGAAAATCAGGACAAATTTCTTGAGGTAAAGTTGAAAAATCTTATTCATGAGGGATTGAAATGTCGTTGGGGTGTTTGTGAGGCCAAACAACATCATTAAGTTCTCATAATGTCCTTCATGTGTCCTGAACGCTGTCTTGTGCACATCCGTTCGATTCATTCTGACTTGGTGGTATCCCGACTTAAGATAAATGACTGCCCTATAAAACTCAATAATCAGAGGAATATGAAACTTGTCCAACGCCGTCTTCTTGTTCGAAGCCTGGTAGTCCACGCAGAATCTTCAACTACCATTTTTTTCTTCACCAACAGGGACTGGAAAAAGGGCTTGCACTAGTCCTGAAAATTTTAGCCTTGAGTATCTCTCGGATCAGCTTCTCAATCTCATTCTTCTGAATCTAAGGGTACTTGTATGGTTTGACGTTGATGGGGGAAACACTCTTTTTCAATGTAATAGCGTGCTTGTGCTCCCTCGGGGGAGTTAACCCGCTTGGCCGTTGGAAGACATCTGTAAATTGTTGTAGGAGCTGCTGGACCATTTAAGGAAACTCTGCCAACTCCGAATCCCGAACCTTCTCAATACTCTGCAACTCTACCAAGTAGCTTAGTCTTGCTCCCCAAATCGACTTGACCATGGTTTTGAGCGATATCATAGTTTTGCATAAAGTAGCATCTCCTCTCAGCATCACCTTCCTACCCTCTACTTGGAACACTATTGTCAGGGTGTTCTAATTCACCTTCATCTTCTCTACTATCCACAACCACTTCATCCCCAAAATCATTTATGTGCTGCCCAAATCTAGAGAAGGAAGTATTCACCACCTGTAAACCATGTTGTGTCAGAACCAACCACTTGCAAATTCCCCGACTTTTCTCCACTTTTCCTGTCCCAATCATGTCGTCGAAGCACCTTGTAGTCACCAGCTCAAACCCTAGCTTCTCCAAGACCTAGTTTGAGATAAAGTTATGTGGCCTCGCTATGTGCCAACACCACAATCAGTTGTTCCCCGATCCACCCCCTTACCTTCATGGTGTGATTCGTGGTAAATCCCACCATCGAATTGAGAGACACCACCGTCACATCCAAATGCAAATGCTTCTCCAGTCCTCCACCGTGTCCTCCTCTGAATCCTCACTCTTTATACCCTCCTGAACTAAAAGAATTTGAAGATCGTGCTCGTTGCAACGGTGGCCTGGGGCATATTTCTCGTCACAATGTTTACGCAATCCTTTTGCTATTTTATCCTGCACTCCTGCATCCGTGAGACGCTTGAAATTGCCTTTAAGATGTGTTTTTCTATTCTTCTTTTTCGACGTCTATTTCTGAAATGACACTGTCTAGGTCTTCGGTGTCGTGTCTATCAATGTGCTCTTGTAGAATTCTCTAGTGTTGTTGTCTTTACTGGTCTTTTTCACATATTTCTTATCCTCCATCATCTGAGCGAGCTCCATCATTTTCCAAAATTCTTACGGTCAAGAGCTCCAATATTTCAAGGAGTTTTATTTCAGTCCTGCTGTAGAAATCCCTCTCAACCTCCCTGACAAGAGCTTGAACTTCTCCCGATATTTCGTAACCTTCCCCTCCTAAGGTAGAGCATAGAATTGCTTTTGTAGATCTCCTTCCCAAATGACTCGGAAATGCTCCAACAATCAATCTTTAAACCCTTCTCATGCGTGCATTGGATACCTTGTAACCGTCCCCTCACTTGCAAATTCCCCTACCTTACCTCTTCTTCTAGCACATTCACTTTCTTTGTTGCCATTCCGCCAAGATATACGCTCCGGAACCAAAATCAACACAACGACGAAACAACAATAGAAAGCTGGAAACACTTCAAATAAGGGCTGCTTTTATGAAACACAAATAAAAACAAGCACGATACAAGGGTGATCTATTTTTCGAGAGGTAGATCGGCTCTCCCATAACCCTAGACGTTGCTAGGAACACCACAAAAGTAGAAAAACACAGCAGCCAACAACATATGAACCCCTTAAATAGATCCTCACACAGCATTTGAAAACTTTTCTTCCAAACTCCCCTTAATTTTTCCTCCTTGAGTATGTGATTATGGCTCTGATGGACCCCACCTGCTCCTTTCCTTCCTCTGTCGTGGCTATTGATCTCTTGGCTGCTACTTGAAAAGAGGACCGGCCCGTCTGTTGACAGAGCAGGCCGGTTGGGAGGTTTTTGACCGGTCCTGTTACAGGCGTAATAGATTGAAAGCGGTGAATTTCGAAGATTGGAGGGCAAAGAGAAATATAAAACAATACATCACCAATATAAAATTGTTGAGTCCAGGAATATCAGGAGGTGGTTTCTTCTCAATTTAAATTCCAGAAAAGTTATTGTAATAACTGTACAGAGTGGAAGCAATCAATATTACAAAACTATGAAACTTTAAAAACTTTTTATACATTAAGTTGATCTTGTAAAATTTATCACAATTGAGTAACGGTATTGAATAAATGATTATGCTTAATGAGTGTATGAACAAATAGCTCAAGTTTAACAAGTGGTAACACAATAATAGATTATAAAACTATTGTTGTCAAATACCAAGCATAGATTTCACCACAAATTAGATCACATTGATATGAATGAATCTTTGCCAATAGTTTAAGGATGTATTTGTTTCGGCTTTAACTTAATGAAATCTCAGTTCGAAAGTTGTTGTAGAAAATCAACTGTTTAAAAGATGGTTTTTCAGAAGCATTTGTTCTTTTTAAAAATTTCAGTTTTAAAAGTATTGTTTGTAGATAATTATCTAAAAGAACACTCTACTCATATTTCACTTTGTGATGTTAGAGATTTGAGTGCCATGCTTGTAAATATGCATGTTTAGGTGTTAGATGTGTAAATTCAAAAAATAAAATTAAAACATTTAAAATAAAATTAAAAGTATTTTTTTCAATCAGATTTTATGAAGTTTTTTTTTTTTCTTTCTTCCATTTTAATTTTGCATTTTAGATTTATTCTAATAAAAGATATTGAATATTTATTTATCATAAAGAATCTAACTGGTTATACACATGAGCACATTTTCCAATAAAATAAATGATAATTGAGTGGTATGCATAAGCAGGAGACATTGGTTGAGGAGAGATTTCTTTTAACCTCATAAATATTTCCCGCGTAATGCGGTTATGAACGAGCAATGTGGGAGCGGGAGTTCGATCCTCATGCCAAAGGAATTTTGACCGCGATTTTAAACCGCGACCTCCGAGACATGCCATTCGAACGCTGTAAGAGGGGACGTGATTCAACAATTCGGTTGAAAAGCTGTCCCAAATGCAGTCTAAGGGTTTGTTTGGGGCAACTGTAACTGTTTGAAGAAGCAGCTGTGAGCTGCTGTTCAAAAAGATGCAGTGGCTATCACAAAAAGAATATTTTTTTAGAAAGTAAGATCACAACTTTTTGAAAGCCACCGCAGTTAGCCAGATCAGGTGGAAAAACACAGGTTTCAGCTGTAGCTTTTTGAATACGCAGACAAAATGCAATATTGCCAAATAAAAAAAAAAAAATGCGGTGCGACACCACACTGCAACCTAACCACCGCTCGAAACACACCTCAAGTGTTCAAGCATTAGGCACAGTAATATTTTTTTTTACTTTAATCAACATATTTTTTTTACTTTAATCAACATAGAACATTCATGTATAATCATAATATAAATGTATTTTACTCAATTCAATTCAAGGTCATTAATATTTTTTTTTACTTTAATCAACATAGAACATTCATGTATAATCATAATATAAATGTCCACTTAATATGAATCTAAATTATAGAGCAAGATGGTAAAAAATATCCAAATAAAACCTATGGGCATGACTTGCTGGGTGTAAACAAGTCGAGTCGATCTCGAGTCACTTTTTGCCCGAGCTTGAGCTTTGTTAATTAGTCTTGTCTCCAAATTCAATGCAGCTCACTATATATGAAATTAAAATAATATTAGTTTAGGTTAGCATTATAATAAAGTGATAGGTAGGATGTGCAATTAGGAGAAAATAATAAAAAATCACTTGATACAAGATTAAATCTTTATTTTTATATATTTTGTGTATATTTTATAATGTAGTACCGGAAAAATAGCTGAGATATTTATTTAATTATTTTGCAGGCACACCCATATTTTCTCCAAGTTAGAGCTGCAGAGAACAGTAGAATGCGCACACAGTGACCAACTTTATTCTACCTTAGCTTTCATTAATGCTGTCTTCGATCTATATAGCCTATTTCTGTATTCTATTTATGCGCCAAAAAGAGTTCGATGCTTGAGGCTGTCTCTCCTTCTGTGCTGTTTATACTGAATTCCTAAATCTCTCTCTCTCTCTCTATGCCTTCTTATACTAATCAGGTAAGCTTCATAACCTACAAATATATTATTTGCAGCATGTCTGTCTCATGGATCTGTAGATTTGCTTTCAGATAGCTTTCATCTTTCAGTATCCGCGCCATGTGCGCCTTTTATTGCCTATTTCCTTGTGTAGTATAAAGTTTATAGACATAATATTTCATGTGACCATGTGATTTGTTCGCTAACAACATGCTTCAGATAATTTCATACATAGCGCGCTCCCAAAATTTTTCTCTTTAACAAAATCCAGCACCCATATGATATTTGAACTACTGAACTTATGTATTTAGACATGCCACGATTACGGTTCTGTTTGGGGCAGCTGCAACTTATTGAATAATCTGCTGATAAGTTAGATGCGGTGGCTATTGTAAATTTTTATTTTTTTGGAAAAGTCAGACTACTGCAAGAAAGCTGCCACCACACCTAGATAGGTGCGGTCTGAAAACGCTGTTTTCAGTATTTTCAAAACGCATAAGTTGAAAAAATGCAGTTTATCCAAACAGTTCAGGTGCGTTTTCAAAACGCCACTGCACCAAATAAGCTGCCCCAAATGGGCCCTAAAGCATTAATAATATAATAAAAATAAATGATACTAGTTTGGTTTTTATCATGATTTTGATATTTGAGTGACAATTCAAAAAGTAGTTGAAATTTGTATCTCAGTTATATTGTTATTAAAGATCAAAAAATTCTAAAAGAGAACTACATTTGATTTCATAAACATAAATAATTTCTCAAGAAAATAATTTTTTATCGAATTTAATGATTCATTACAATAAATTAATTAAAAATAAATAAATAAGAAGTATCTTTCCAAAACAAACCTTATCGACGTGAATTATAATATATTAATTTATGAAGTACGATATTGGCACCTACTTTCAATTGGTTCGTATGAGAAGGATACTTAGCCTTCAAGTCGTTAACTTCTAAGCTCTCTTCACATCAATGCATTGGAGAATTTAATGAGGTTATTTGTGTTTTCTGACCAAAAATGCGTCAAATTGCCGAACTTGATCAAGTAGTTCGATCCGACGGAGCTGACAAAATAATTCAAGATCAATTTGTTAAAAGAGATATGTTCGATTGAGGTAGATGAGTGAACTCAATACTGAGCTATGCTTTATAGACCTCGCCTACTTGTTAAAGCACTCAGGAGGAACAATCATCAATGTAAGCCATCCATATCCGAAGAAGACAATGAATATAAAACAAATATTTCTCGACATCCTCATGTATAAGAGTGATCTTCTAGTGAATCATTCATCTATTTCCAGTTTCTCGTTCTCATTCTTAACCCTTTTCTTGGGCGTGTTAATTCACAGATAAATCAAAATCCAACATGTTTTTTCTATGCCTAGCTTCGATTTTGTCGAGCTCCATACTGACTCGGTGGGCGACTTCAAACTTTGCATTCTTTTTTGTGAATTACTTTGTTTGCTCCATCATTGGAGCCCCTTAGGCCTCTATGCCCTTTCAAATAATAAAACAAAGGTACTTTTATGATTTTTATTATATGGTTGATTATTTAAATTAAAATTGTCCACATAACTTCCTACTCACAAATGATGCCAATATTTTTAATATAAAATAGAGAAATTTACATACATAACACACAATTCCCAATTATTTTGCATATGTAATGCCAAAAAATTTGATGTTTATATGTATAATACCTTGGTGTCTAAACTTTATATAGAAAGATATTTCAATTCTTATGTATTTACATAATAGCTCCTCCAAAATTTCACATTTTACATCTATGTAAATACATAGAAATTAAATGGTATGTATGTAAATCTTCTAATGAAGGTTTAGAGATTAGATATGTAAAAACATAAGAATTTTTGTGACATGCGAGGGGCGTAAACGAGCCGACATGTAAAAACGGCTCGTTTATATTTCGAGCTCAAAAATCGTGTTCGTGTTTGGCTCGTTTCGTTTAACGAGGCGACACCAAGA